ATATATATATATATATATATATATATATATATATATATTTATAGTGAGCTCGTGAGATCATACTATATATTTCGTCCCTGAGGCAAACTATGGCACTTGCTTCATGTTCAAGTAATCTTAGTTCACCTTGTGAATAATTCAAAAAAGGAGAAACAAAGAATATGAGCTTTTACAATCATATATTTAATCCTCAATAAATAAAAGATATATATGTTTTATGAGTAATGACGCTATCTTTCTACATCTATGTAAGTAAGAACCTCAAAGGATTACCATTAAATTTTGACACAGATCACATGGGTGTTGGACTTGAGTGGATGGGTTTATTGATAACTTTTTTAGAAATATGTATCAAAATTTAATGGTGATCCTTTGGGGTCTTACTCACATGGGTGTAGGAGAGTCCTATAGTATCATTACTCATGTTTTATAAGGGGAAGTTTTATACAGAGCTGAGATACTAAACAATCAAATTAGAGCCCACCTCAAAAATTTCACTAGAAGGGGTTTTTTTATGCCCAAATATTTTCTAGACATCAAAATACGTGAACTAAGAGAAAAAAAATGGATTTCAAGTTTTGAAATAATACATCTTGTAATGCATTTATAGATCCTCAATTTTCAAGATTTTCAAGTCTTCATAGATCTGCTCGATCTACATCATTTTTTAAGCTTTAAATTTTATAATTGAATATGAAAATATATTTTAAAGCTATCACAAAGATTTCCATATTTCTTGATACTATTTGAAGGTGCGCTTTACTTTGATTATTTAGAACCTCGGCTCTATACAAACCTCACCCTTCTCATAATTTCCCTTTTTCCTTTAATAATTTTTATTAAGATACATGGATGAACGATATATTCCATGTTGATTCTCGTTTTCTCATGTTTCTTTCACTGAATAGACAATGGACAAACTGATATGCAAGAAATGGGGAGAGAATTGAGAGAGAGAGAGAGAGAGTGTGTGTGTGTTGTGCCTCTTGGAAATAAAGAAATGGGTGATGCCCGCCAATTGCTAAAAGCCAGAGTACCCGAATTTTTGTATAATGTTTATAATTGGTAATTGGTTGGTAAGATGTCATGTCTTCTAACCAAACTTTTGTTCTACTTCTTTCTCCTAAGCTGAAGTCTTAATTGCAGAAGGCTCACCATGCCAAAAGGAGGCAAGTATACTCCACATAACATCAATAATTCACAATCAATCATTCCAGGCAAGCATATTGTCTATGACTAACATTTGCAGTACAATTCTTAACAATCCAAACCATACATACATGATTCATGAATAATTTCACTATTATCTTATTGCCACAAATGGAGATGATGGATAAGGCAACAGGGCGTTGCCTTTTCTGCCTTGCCATGTACCAACCAACATGATGACTAGGAGTGGGCTTTTATTGATGCTTTGAGTGCCTTTGACAAAAGGACTGAATCCTCTTGATTCCATCTTCCAAAAGATGGGGGGAAATAGCAAAAGCAATCCGTAGCCATCCCGGCATCGCAAGAGCAATCCCTGCAAAAAACACACCTCTCATCTTATACACACACACATAATGATCTTGCACTTCTTAAGTTTCAATATTCTTCTAGGTTTTTTAGCAATACAGCATTCTAATTGTGATGTTAGAAAGCTTACTTCCATTAATTTGTCCCACGAGTCTTTAGTAAAGTTTATGGGAACCTCATACACATGAGGGCATCTACTGGTTGATCTCAAGCAAGGGTGGTGGAGATAAAATGTTCTTCCAGATCATGGTGAGTGTTTATCATTGAAATGATGAGGCATCTCCACCATCCAAGTGGAGACAGGATGGTGGATAGCCCGCCTGTGCCTGGTATACCATTGATAGGATGGGTTTGATGTACTTTTTCCCGAGTAATATTCATCATTTAATGAAAACTGTGAAACAAACCGGTTTAGCATTTTAAAAATGCTCAATAAGGCTTTCCTCAAATTATTTATTTGTAACTTTGAGATCCACAATGCAAACGATACTCAAAGGTGTTTCCTTGGCTTCCCATGGAGCAGAGGTTAAAAAATATTTGAAAAAATAAGTAAAGCTAAAACAGTTTCTTAGCTCTCCTTGACCTTTAAAAACAAATGATGCTTCTCTCTACTCTCTATAGTTTTTAAGCCAACCATTCGGTAACCGTGAATAATGAATATATGATCTGACGGCAAAAGTTCTCCAAAAAGCTGTTTTAGTAAAGTTAAGAGTAGCTAAAAACCTCTGCTCCCAGATTTAGTCAAAAGGGGTGTGGAGGGATGGAGATTCCACAAAAAAGATCCTGAGAGATGAACCATTTAAGATCTCATCCATTTCTTTTGATTAAATTTAAAAAATCCTTGACACATAAGCATGAGCTTGAATAGTTGATATTGTAAGTATGTAATGGTAATGGATGAAATGCTAAATAGTTGATATTTCAAGTGTCTTGTTATTTCCCCCAAAAAAAAAAAATGCAGAGAGAGAAGAGAGATTCTACGAACAGTTTCAGTGCATTTCCAACTACTCAGAAATTTAATGCAATTGATAAAATAATGATGCACACTGAGCCCAACTAAAATAAGAAGGCCGAAAAGCTTAAAAAACTGTCAGCGCACCTGGCATCAAGATTACTGATTCTTCCCTGGCCAACTTACTACAGAAATCAACATCATCTGATATGTCATGGAGTTGAGATACATCTAACTTCACCTGAACCACGCATCAAATTAGAAAATGTGGCCCCAAAGATTGAACTCCATAAATAATTTGGAAATGGTTAGAGAGAGAGAGGGAGGGGAGGAGAGAGAGAGAGAGAGAAGAGAGAGAGAGAGAGAGAGAGAGAGAGAGAGAAGAAGAGAGACGACGTACTTACTACTTACCTACACTACTAACAACAGTAGTATCGTCGTCGTTGGGTTTAGGGTAGGACGTAATAAGTAGACGTAAGTACTACGTACTACAC